AATGATTGGTGTCCTGGGAGGTGTATATTTACCTGGTCACACTGTGTCCCTACGACAATGACTGGTGTCCTGGGAGGTGTATATTTACCTTGTCACACTGTGTCCCTACGACAATGATTGGTGTCCTGGGAGGTGTATATTTACCTGGTTACACTGTGTCCCTACAAGAATGATTGGTGTCCTGGGAGGTGTATACATACCTGGTCACACTGTTTCCCTACGAGAATGATTGGTGTCCTGGGAGGTGTATACATACCTGGTCACACTGTTTCCCTACGAGAATGATTGGTGTCCTGGGAGGTGTATATTTTCCTGGTCACACTGTGTCCCTACGACAATGACTGGTGTCCTGGGAGGTGTATATTTACCTGGTCACACTGTGTCCCTACAAGAATGATTGGTGTCCTGGGAGGTGTATACANGAGACTCATACATAGGGAACAAAGAGCTAGATATTGGAGGAAAAGGAATGACCAAAGGAGACTCATACATAGGGAACAAAGAGCTAGATATTGGAGGAAAAGGAATGACCATAGGAGACTCATACATAGGGAACAAAGAGCTAGATATTGGAGGAAAAGGAATGACCAAAGGAGACTCATACATAGGGAACAAAGAGCTAGATATTGGAGGAAAAGGAATGACCATAGGAGACTCATACATAGGGAACAAAGAGCTAGATATTGGAGGAAAAGGAATGACCAAAGGAGACTCATACATAGGGAACAAAGAGCTAGATATTGGAGGAAAAGGAATGACCATAGGAGACTCATACATAGGGAACAAAGAGCTAGATATTGGAGGAAAAGGAATGACCAAAGGAGACTCATACATAGGGAACAAAGAGCTAGATATTGGAGGAAAAGGAATGACCATAGGAGACTCATACATAGGGAACAAAGAGCTAGATATTGGAGGAAAAGGAATGACCAAAGGAGACTCATACATAGGGAACAAAGAGCTAGATATTGGAGGAAAAGGAATGACCATAGGAGACTCATACATAGGGAACAAAGAGCTAGATATTGGAGGAAAAGGAATGACCAAAGGAGACTCATACATAGGGAACAAAGAGCTAGATATTGGAGGAAAAGGAATGACCATAGGAGACTCATACATAGGGAACAAAGAGCTAGATATTGGAGGAAAAGGAATGACCAAAGGAGACTCATACATAGGGAACAAAGAGCTAGATATTGGAGGAAAAGGAATGACCATAGGAGACTCATACATAGGGAACAAAGAGCTAGATATTGGAGGAAAAGGAATGACCAAAGGAGACTCATACATAGGGAACAAAGAGCTAGATATTGGAGGAAAAGGAATGACCATAGGAGACTCATACATAGGGAACAAAGAGCTAGATATTGGAGGAAAAGGAATGACCAAAGGAGACTCATACATAGGGAACAAAGAGCTAGATATTGGAGGAAAAGGAATGACCATAGGAGACTCATACATAGGGAACAAAGAGCTAGATATTGGAGGAAAAGGAATGACCAAAGGAGACTCATACATAGGGAACAAAGAGCTAGATATTGGAGGAAAAGGAATGACCAAAGGAGACTCATACATAGGGAACAAAGAGCTAGATATTGGAGGAAAAGGAATGACCATAGGAGACTCATACATAGGGAACAAAGAGCTAGATATTGGAGGAAAAGGAATGACCATAGGAGACTCATACATAGGGAACAAAGAGCTAGATATTGGAGGAAAAGGAATGACCATAATAGATTCAATTACAAGCAACAAAGAGCTTCAGATTGGAGGAAACAGTTAAATCATTCATTAAAACACCATCAGCAATTCAATATGAAACTTGTCTGGTAATAATGCATGATGTTCTTTTTTTCTTTCTTTCAAAAAACAAATTTTTCATTTTGTTAATGAAAACATATGATCTAGGCATTGTGGATTGATCTACTGTTTTATCTGATGGAAAATTGCTTTTGAAGGAAATGTTAATCTCATTTGAGCGGGATGGTCATTTTATATTTTACCATCATTTAAACAACCTTGAGTTTGGACAGTACTACAAGCTAACATATATTAAAACACCATGCGATATATATACTTACTGTGCCTTTGATGGAACTGACATAGTGGAAAGTAGTGATCTGAGGATAGCGCTTCCTTAGGTCATTCTCTGGTATGTCTACCTTTGGAACCTGGAAAAACGAAAATAAAAGATTTCACCAAACGATAAAAGATTTCACTTTCAAACTCTATTTTTGGTGGGAAGATGGGAAGGTAAGCAATTCAGCAGGTGAAATTGGCTGTAACTAAGTATTCAGTCTTTGTCTCCACCACTTTTGATTGGTGTCCTGGGTGATGTATATTTACCTGGTCACACTGTGTCCCTACGACAATGATTGGTGTCCTGGGAGGTGTATATTTACCTGGTCACACTGTGTCCCTACGACAATGATTGGTGTCCTGGGAGGTGTATATTTACCTGGTCACACTGTGTCCCTACGACAATGATTGGTGTCCTGGGAGGTGTATATTTACCTGGTCACACTGTGTCCCTACGACAATGATTGGTGTCCTGGGAGGTGTATATTTACCTGGTCACACTGTGTCCCTACGACAATGATTGGTGTCCTGGGAGGTGTATATTTACCTGGTCACACTGTGTCCCTACGACAATGATTGGTGTCCTGGGAGGTGTATATTTACCTGGTCACACTGTGTCCCTACGACAATGATTGGTGTCCTGGGAGGTGTATATTTACCTGGTCACACTGTGTCCCTACGACAATGATTGGTGTCCTGGGAGGTGTATATTTACCTGGTCACACTGTGTCCCTACGACAATGATTGGTGTCCTGGGAGGTGTATATTTACCTGGTCACACTGTGTCCCTACGACAATGATTGGTGTCCTGGGAGGTGTATATTTACCTGGTCACACTGTGTCCCTACGACAATGATTGGTGTCCTGGGAGGTGTATATTTACCTGGTCACACTGTGTCCCTACGACAATGATTGGTGTCCTGGGAGGTGTATATTTACCTGGTCACACTGTGTCCCTACGACAATGATTGGTGTCCTGGGAGGTGTATATTTACCTGGTCACACTGTGTCCCTACGACAATGATTGGTGTCCTGGGAGGTGTATATTTACCTGGTCACACTGTGTCCCTACGACAATGATTGGTGTCCTGGGAGGTGTATATTTACCTGGTCACACTGTGTCCCTACGACAATGATTGGTGTCCTGGGAGGTGTATATTTACCTGGTCACACTGTGTCCCTACGACAATGATTGGTGTCCTGGGAGGTGTATATTTACCTGGTCACACTGTGTCCCTACGACAATGATTGGTGTCCTGGGAGGTGTATATTTACCTGGTCACACTGTGTCCCTACGACAATGATTGGTGTCCTGGGAGGTGTATATTTACCTGGTCACACTGTGTCCCTACGACAATGATTGGTGTCCTGGGAGGTGTATATTTACCTGGTCACACTGTGTCCCTACGACAATGATTGGTGTCCTGGGAGGTGTATATTTACCTGGTCACACTGTGTCCCTACGACAATGATTGGTGTCCTGGGAGGTGTATATTTACCTGGTCACACTGTGTCCCTACGACAATGATTGGTGTCCTGGGAGGTGTATATTTACCTGGTCACACTGTGTCCCTACGACAATGATTGGTGTCCTGGGAGGTGTATATTTACCTGGTCACACTGTGTCCCTACGACAATGATTGGTGTCCTGGGAGGTGTATATTTACCTGGTCACACTGTGTCCCTACGACAATGATTGGTGTCCTGGGAGGTGTATATTTACCTGGTCACACTGTGTCCCTACGACAATGATTGGTGTCCTGGGAGGTGTATATTTACCTGGTCACACTGTGTCCCTACGACAATGATTGGTGTCCTGGGAGGTGTATATTTACCTGGTCACACTGTGTCCCTACGACAATGATTGGTGTCCTGGGAGGTGTATATTTACCTGGTCACACTGTGTCCCTACGACAATGATTGGTGTCCTGGGAGGTGTATATTTACCTGGTCACACTGTGTCCCTACGACAATGATTGGTGTCCTGGGAGGTGTATATTTACCTGGTCACACTGTGTCCCTACGACAATGATTGGTGTCCTGGGAGGTGTATATTTACCTGGTCACACTGTGTCCCTACGACAATGATTGGTGTCCTGGGAGGTGTATATTTACCTGGTCACACTGTGTCCCTACGACAATGATTGGTGTCCTGGGAGGTGTATATTTACCTGGTCACACTGTGTCCCTACGACAATGATTGGTGTCCTGGGAGGTGTATATTTACCTGGTCACACTGTGTCCCTACGACAATGATTGGTGTCCTGGGAGGTGTATATTTACCTGGTCACACTGTGTCCCTACGACAATGATTGGTGTCCTGGGAGGTGTATATTTACCTGGTCACACTGTGTCCCTACGACAATGATTGGTATCCTGGGTGGTGTATATTTACCTGGTCACACTGTGTCCCTACCACAATGATTGGTGTCCTGGGTGGTGTATATTTACCTGGTCACACTGTGTCCCTACGACAATGATTGGAGTCTTGGGAGCATGGCAGGCAATGGAGCTGAGCCAGAAATCCAGGCCAGCATGTTCAAACCCCATACGCATGTTCCACAGCAACATGTACACTGCACGGTTTGAAAGGAAGAACTGAAACATCAATAACATTGTGATTTCAAATCAACATAATTGTTCGATCAGCACACAGGATGGCACAGTAAATTCTGTTGTTGGTAGCAGTGATATAAAAAACAGATGTATAATCAATCAAATCAGCTATGACTGATATCTGTGTAGCATGTTTAAACATCTGGAAAATGATCTGGTTATGTACGCTCAGTATAGAAGGGCATTACCTGACATGGATATCTACCCTTAGTATAGAGGGCATTACCTGACATGGATATCTACCCTTAGTATAGAGGGCATAACCTAACATGGATATCTACCCTTAGTATAGTGGGCATTACCTGACATGGATATCTACCCTTAGTATAGAAGGCATTACCTGACATGGATATCAACCCTTAGTATAGAGGGCATTACTTGACATGGATATCTTCCCTTAGTATAGAGGGCATTACCTGATATGGATATCTACCCTTAGTATAGAGGGTATTACCTGTCATGGATATCTACCCTTAGTATAGAGGGCATTACCTGACATGGATATCTACCCTTATTATAGAGGGCATAACCTGACATAGATATCTACCTTTAGTATAAAGGGCATAACCTGACATGGATATCTATCTTTAGTATAGAGGGCATAACCTGACATGGATATCTACCCTTAGTATATAGGGCATTACCTGACATGGATATCTACCCTTCGTATAGAAGGCATTACCTGACATGGATATCTACCTTTAGTATAGAAGGCATAACCTGACATGGATATCTATCCTTAGTATAGAGGGAATTACCTGACATGGATATCTACCTTTAGTATAGAGGGCATTCCCTGACATGGATATCTACCCTAAGTATAGAGGGCATTACCTGACATGGATATCTAACTTTAGCATAGAAGGCATAACCTGACATGGATATCTACCCTTAGAATAGAGGGCATTACCTGACATGGATATCTACCCTTAGTATAAAGGGTATTACCTGACATGGATATCTATCCTTAGTATAGAGGGTATTACCTGACATGGATATCTACCCTTCGTATAGAAGACATTACCTGACATGGATATCTACCTTTAGTATAGAGGGCATTCCCTGACATGGATATCTACCCTAAGTATAGAGGGCATTACCTGACATGGATATCTAACTTTAGCATAGAAGGCATAACCTGACATGGATATCTACCCTTAGAATAGAGGGCATTACCTGACATGGATATCTACCCTAAGTATAGAGGGCATTACCTGACATGGATATCTAACTTTAGCATAGAAGGCATAACCTGACATGGATATCTACCCTTGGTATAGAGGGCATTACCTGACATGGATATCTACCTATAGTATAGAGGACATTACCTGACATGGATATCTAACTTTAGTATAGAAGGGATAACCTGACATGGATATCTACCCTTAGTATAGAGGGTATTATCTGACATGGATATCTACCCTTAGTATAGAGGGCATTGCCTGACATGGATATCTACCCTTAGTATAGAGGGTATTACCTGACATGGATATCTACCCTAAGTATAGAGGGCATTACCTGACATGGATATCTCCCTTTAGTATAGAGGGCATTACCTGACATGGATATCTCCCTTTAGTATAGAAGGCATAACCTGACATGGATATCTATCCTTAGTATAGAGGGTATTACCTGACATGGATATCTACCCTAAGTATAGAGGGCATTACCTGACATGGATATCTAACTTTAGCATAGAAGGCATAACCTGACATGGATATCTACCCTTGGTATAGAGGGCATTACCTGACATGGATATCTACCTATAGTATAGAGGGCATTACCTGACATGGATATCTAACTTTAGTATAGAAGGCATAACCTGACATGGATATCTACCCTTAGTATAGAGGGCATTACCTGACATGGATATCTACCCTTAGTATAGAGGATATAACCTGACATGGATATCTACGCTTAGTATAGAGGGCATTACCTGACATGGATATCTACCCTTAGTATAGAAGGCATTACCTGACATGGATCTCTACCTTTAGTATAGAGGGCATTCCCTGACATGGATATCTATCCTTAGTATAGAGGGCATTACCTGACAGGGATATTTACCCTTCGTGAAGTACAGATGGCATTACCTGACAGGGATATCTGCCCTTAGTGAAGTACAGAGGGCATTGCCTGACAGGGATATCTGATATCTACCCTTAGTAAAGTACAGATGGTACCTGACATGGATATCTACCTTTAGTATATAGGGCATTACCTTACATGGATATCTATCCTTATTGAATTACAGAGGGCATTACCTGACAGGATATCTACCCTTAGTATAGAGAGTATTATCTGACATGGATATCTTCCCTTAGTATAGAAGGCATTACCTGACATGGATATCTAACTTTGGTATAGAAGGCATAACCTGACATGGATATCTACCCTTCGTATAGAAGGCATTACCTGACATGGATATCTTCCTTTAGTATAGAGGGCATTACCGGACATGGATATCTACCTTTAGTATATAGGGCATTACCTGTCATGGATATCTATCCTTATTGAAGAACAGAGGGCATTACCTGACAGGGATATTTACCCTTTGTGAAGTACAGATATAGAGGGCATTACCTGACATGTATATCTATCCTTATTGAAGTACAAAGGGCATTACCTGACAGGGATATCTCCCCTTAGTGAAGTACAGAGGGCATTTCCTGACAGGGATATTTACCCTTAGTGAAGTACAGATGGTATTACCTGACAGGGTTATCTACCCTTAGTGAAGTACAGATGGTATTACCTGAACATGGATATCTACCTATAGTATAGAGGGCATTACCTGACAGGGATATCTGATATCTACCCTTAGTAAAGTACAGATGGTATGATCTGACATTGATATCAGAGGGCATTACCTGACATGAATATCTACCCTTAGTATAGAGGGCGTTACCTGACATGGATATCTACCTTTAGTATATAGGGCATTACCTGCCATGGATATCTATCCTTATTGAAGAACAGAGGGCATTACCTGACAGGGTAGTATAGAGGGTATTACCTGACATGGATATTACCTGACATGGATATCTACCCTTCGTATAGAAGGCATTACCTGACATGGATATCTGCCTTTAGTATAGAGGGCATTACCGGACATGGATATCTAACTTTAGTATAGAAGGCATCACCTGACATGGATATCTACCCTTGGTATAGAGGATATAACCTGACATGGATGTCTACGCTTAGTATAGAGGGCATTACCTGACGTGGATATCTACCCTAAGTATAGAGGGCATTACCTGACATGTATATCTATCCTTATTGAAGTACAAAGGGCATTACCTGACAGGGATATTTACCCTTTGTGAAGTACAGATGGCATTACCTGACAGGATAGAAGGCATAACCTGACATGGATATCTACCCTTCGTATAGAAGGCATTACCTGACATGGATATCTGCCCTTAGTGAAGTACAGAGGGCATTTCCTGACAGGGATATTTACCCTTAGTGAAGTACAGATGGCATTACCTGACAGGGATATTTACCCTTTGTGAAGTACAGATGGCATTACCTGACAGGGTTACTACCCTTAGTGAAGTACAAAGGGCATTACCTGACAGGGATATTTTCCCTTAGTGAAGTTCAGATGGTATGATCTGACATTGATATCTCCCCTTAGTGAAGTACAGATGGCATTACCTGACAGGGATATCTCCCCTTAGTGAAGTACAGATGGCATTACCTGACAGGGATATTTACCCTTTGTGAAGTACAGATGGCATTACCTGACAGGGTTACTACCCTTAGTGAAGTAAAAAGGGCATTACCTGACAGGGTTACTACCCTTAGTGAAGTACAAAGGGCATTACCTGACAGGGATATTTACCCTTCGTGAAGTACAGATGGCATTACCTGACAGGGATATCTATATCTACCCTTAGTATAAAGGGTATTACCTGACATGGATATATACCCTTAGTATAGAGGGCATTACCGGACATGGATATCTACCTTTAGTATATAGGGCATTACCTGTCATGGATATCTATCCTTATTGAAGAACAGAGGGCATTACCTGACAGGGGTATCTACCCTTAGTGAAGTACAGAATATCTACCTTTAGTATAGAGGGCATTCCCTGACATGGATATCTACCTTTAGTATATAGGGCATTACCTGACATGGATATCTATCCTTATTGAAGTACAGAGGGCATTACCTGACAGGGATATCTACCCTTAGTGAAGTACAGAGGGCATTACCTGACAGGGATATTTACCCTTAGTGAAGTTCAGATGGTATGATCTGACATTGATATCTACCCTTAGTGAAGTACAGATGGCATTACCTGACAGGGATATTTACCCTTCGTGAAGTACAGAGGGCATTACCTGACAGGGATATTTACCCTTTGTGAAGTACAGATGGCATTACCTGACAGGGATATTTACCCTTCGTGAAGTACAGAAGGCATTACCTGACAGGGATATTTACCCTTCGTGAAGTACAGAGGGCATTACCTGACACGGTTGTTTACCCTTAGTGAAGTACAAAGGGCATTAACTAAAGTGGTTATCTACCCTCAGTGAAGTACAGATGGTATTACCTGACATGGATATCTACCCTTAGTGAAGTACAGATGGCATTACTTGACATGGATATCTACCCTTAGTGAAGTACAGAGGGCATTACCTGACAGGGATATCTGATATCTACCCTTAGTAAAGTACAGATGGTATGATCTGACATTGATATCTACCCTTAGTGAAGTACAGAGGGCATTACTTGACATGGATATCTACCCTTAGTGAAGTACAGAGGGCATTACCTGACACGGTTATTTACCCTTAGTGAAGTACAGAGGGCATTACCTGACAGGGTTATCTACCCTTAGTGAAGTACAGATGGCATTACCTGACAGGGATATCTACCCTTTGTGAAGTACAGAGGGCATTACCTGACAGGGTTATCTATCCTTAGTGAAGTACAGAGGGCATTACCTGACAGGGATATTTACCCTTCGTAAAGTACAGAGGGCATTACCTGACAGGAATATCTACCCTTAGTGAAGTACAGAGGGCATTACCTGACACGGTTATTTACCCTTAGTGAAGTACAGAGGACATTACCTGACAGGGTTATCTACCCTTAGTGAAGTACAGATGGCATTACCTGACAGGGATATCTACCCTTTGTGAAGTACAGAGGGCATTACCTGACAGGGTTATCTATCCTTAGTGAAGTACAGATGGCATTACCTGACAGGGATATCTTCCCTTAGTGAAGTACAGATGGCATTACCTGACAGGGTTATCTACCCTTATTGAAGTACAGATGGCACTACTTGACATGGATATCTTCCCTTAGTAAAAGTACAGATGGCATTACCTGACAGGGTTACTACCCTTAGTGAAGTACAAATGGCATTACCTGACAGGGTTACTACCCTTAGTGAAGTACAAAGGGCATTACCTGACAGGGTTATCTACCTTTAGTGAAGTACAGGGGATATAATTGAATTACCTGATGGGTATTGTAGTAGACAGTCTGGCCAGCGAAGTCCCAAGTACTGTAGGTGATGTCTAAGCCGCCATCAGCCTTCACTGTCCACGGTTTGATCTCAATGCCGTCTGTCAGCTGAGCATTCTGAGTACCTGTTGTTTTCTTGTTTACACTTGTCAGAGCTTGTAGCAGGCTGCCAACAGAACAACAGTAAATTAACTTTATCATTAACATGTATACAAAATATAATATTGGATTGTTTTTTATTGTTTTAATTCACTTAATGGTCAATCTGAAATGTAACAAATGTTACAACTATACTTCTGACTTCAATAATTTTCCCTCTTTTTTTCTGTTCAGATTGGGATACCTCGTTATAGGTATTATAGACATGACTAAGGTCATTACCTGGTTTTTCCTGCTCCTCCTAAACCCACAAACATAAGTTTGGTCCTGCGACATTCTGTGAAGCCTCCTGCAAGTCGTTTGAGATAGGCCCTCACCGACTCAAAGCCACGACTAACCACCTCATTGGGAGGGGTTCGAAGTGAGGGACAACTGGTCAGACGAATGGCTGTCATAGAAACATTAAATATTAGATGAATGGCTGTCATAAAACATTGAATATCAGATGAATGGCTGTCATAAAACTTTAAATATCAGACGAATGGCTGTCATAGAAACATTGAATATCAGATGAATGGCTGTCATGAAACATTAAATATCAGATGAATGGCTGTCATAAAACATTAAATATCAGATGAATGGCTGTCATAAAACATTAAATATCAGATGAATGGCTGTCATAGAAACATTGAATGTCAGATGAATGGCTTTCATAAAACATTAAATATCAGATGAATGGCTGTCATAAAACATTAAATATCAGATGAATGGCTGTCATAAAACATTAAATATCAGACAAATGGCTTTCATAAAATATTAAAAATCAGACGAATGGCTGTCATAAAACATTAAATATCCGATAAACTGCATGAGGTGAAGTTAAATGTCAGACAAATCAATGTCACAGAAATAATGTTGTGTTTGTTATCAACTCTCAACTTGTAAAAATAGTTACACACAAAAAGTTTGTCTTATAGATGATCACGTTATTTGTACTTGCTCAAATATGAGGTCTAAATTGACAATAATATACATCTGTTAATTAATTATCATTTCATATTTAGATAAGTTTGCTTTGGTTGTTATGCACATAAATACATTTTTGACATTGAAACTACAAATAAAATTGCATGAAACATACATTTAATGTTTGGGATGAGGCCGACAGACCCTTCAATACTCTCCAACAGAGGGCAGTGACTCAGGTCGAGGATCTGTAGGTTCTGTAGCTGACTCAGCTGTTTGGGGACAAGAGTAATTGCCTGATAGTTGAGGTACAGCTCCTGGAGGTTCACCAGTTGAAACACTACTGCAGGTATTCCTCCAAACTCTTCTGTCCCAGCTACAACACAATCAATCATACTGTATACAGAGAAATGTTCTCTGAAGCCTTTTTACCCTAGGCAATGAGGGCAAATTCATCATAGGAGCCAACATTAACAAACCATACAATAAACATAGCAATCAAATGTGAAGGCTGAAATGAACCTGGACAAACAGGGATTTTACCAGCGTAGGGCGTAAGTGGTACTGGACAAACAGGGATTTTACCAGTGTAGGGCGAAAGTGGTACTGGACAAACAGGGATTTTACCAGCGTAGCGCGAAAGTGGTACTGGACAAATAGGGATTTTACCAGTGTAGGGCGAAAGTGGTACTGGACAAATAGGGATTTTACCAGCGTAGGGCGAAAGTGGTACTGGACAAATAGGGATTTTACCAGCGTAGGGCGAAAGTGGTACTGGACAAATAGGGATTTTACCAGCGTAGGGCGAAAGTGGTACTGGACAAATAGGGATTTTACCAGCGTAGGGCGAAAGTGGTACTGGACAAATAGGGATTTTACCAGCGTAGGGCGAAAGTGGTACTGGACAAATAGGGATTTTACCAGCGTAGGGCGAAAGTGGTACTGGACAAATAGGGATTTTACCAGCGTAGGGCGAAAGTGGTACTGGACAAATAGGGATTTTACCAGCGTAGGGCGAAAGTGGTACTGGACAAATAGGGATTTTACCAGCGTAGGGCGAAAGTGGTACTGGACAAACAGGGATTTTACCAACGTAGGGCGAAAGTGGTACTGGACAAACAGGGATTTTACCAGCGTAGGGCGAAAGTCGTACTGGACAAACCGGGATTTTACCAGCGTAGAGTGAAAGTGGTACTGGACAAACAGGGATATTACCAGTGTAGGGCGAAAGTGGTACTGGACAAACCGGGATTTTACCAACTAGGGCGAAAGTGGTACTGGACAAACAGGGATTTTACCAACTAGGGCGAAAGTTGTACTGGGCAAACAGGGATTTTACCAACTAGGGCGAAAGTGGTACTGGACAAACAGGGATTTTACCAACTAGGGCGAAAGTGGTACTGGACAAACAGGGATTTTACCAGCGTAGAGTGAAAGTGGTACTGGACAAACAGGGATTTTACCAGCATAGGGTGAAATTCGTACTGAACAAATAGGGATTTTACCAGTGTAGGGTAGAAGTCATACTGGACAAATAGGGATTTTACCAGCGTAGGGTGAAAGTGGTACTGGACAAATAGGGATTTTACCAGTGTAGGGCGAAAGCTGTACTGGAGAAACAGGGATTTTACCAACTAGGGCGAAAGTGGTACTCGAGGAACAGGGATTTTACCAGCGTAGGGTGAAAGTTGTACTGGACAAACAGGGATTTTACCAACTAGGGCGAAAGTTGTACTGGGCAAACAGGGATTTTACCAACTAGGGCGAAAGTCATACGGGACAAAAAGATTTTACCAACGTAGGGCGAAAGTGGTACTGGACAAACAGGAAATCCAACTTTCTCATTCTTAGTATAAGAAAATCATGAGATCTAAGAGATATTTTGATGTCCCTTATACACTGGGTTTATAAACAATGAACTTTGACTGCAGATCTCACTTTCACGCAATCCTTCTTTGACTTGTTGAAGGAAGTAAGGACCATGGGGAATCTACATGTGAAATTTGATTACAACCTTAACAGTATTTTCTAAGAAACGGGGACAACAAACCTTAACTGCATTCACCTTGTTTTTTCATCAGTCCCAATTAAAGTATAATATGTAAAACTAAGGATCAAGGGAACAAACAAATACATCTGTAAAAGTGGAGAAATCCCCTTCAGAGAAATAGTGATAGCAAATTTAACTTTTTAACTCAAAAAAACAAGAAGGCCAACCTTCAGCCGTTGTGATTTTCTTGAGAAATCTTGAAAATATTACTTACTTGTGTTTTTTAAGCGCGGGATTTTGAAAAACAGGTGGAGATTGAGGTGAGCAATTTCTTGTTCATCAAGTTCACTGTTCTTGTTGGTGTCATATTTGTTGAAGAAATCTTCAACATTCTGCAGAGAAATAATTCAATTTAACAATTTTGATGAATTTTGTCCAGAGGTATCAATGTGTGATGTTCAACAGGCAAGTCAATGTGCGGTCATGCAAAGGAACTAGCGCTATCAACCGGGTTACTATTCTATAGGTCAAAGGACAGGATCACCATTCTGTAAGTCGAAGGACATGACCACCATTCTATAAGTCAAAGGATACGGTCATCATGCTATAAGTCAAAGGACATGACCACCATTCTATAAGTCAAAGGACATAGTAACCATTCTATAAGTCAAAGGACATGGTCACCATTCTATAAGTCAAGGGACATGACCACCATTCTATGAGTCAAAGGATATGGTTACCATTCTATAAATAAAAGGACATAGTAACCTTTCTATAAGTCAAAGGACATAGTAACCATTCTATAAGTCAAAGGACATGGTCACCATTCTATAAGTCAAGGGACATGACCACCATTCTATGAGTCAAAGGATATGGTTACCATTCTATAAATAAAAGGACATAGTAACCTTTCTATAAGTCAAAGGACATAGTAACCATTCTATAAGTCAAAGGACATGGTCACCATTCTATAAGTCAAGGGACATGACCACCATTCTATGAGTCAAAGGATATGGTTACCATTCTATAAATAAAAGGACATAGTAACCTTTCTATAAGTCAAAGGACATAGTAACCATTCTATAAGTCAAAGGACATGGTCACCATTCTATAAGTCAAGGGACATGACCACCATTCTATGAGTCAAAGGATATGGTTACCATTCTATAAATAAAAGGACATAGTAACCTTTCTATAAGTCAAAGGACATAGTAACCATTCTATAAGTCAAAGGACATGGTCACCATTCTATAAGTCAAGGGACATGACCACCATTCTATAAGTCAAAGGATATGGTCACCATTCTATAAGTCAAAGGACAGGATCACCATTCTATAAGTCAAAGGACAGGATCATCATTCTAAAAGTCAAAGGATATGGTCACCATTCTATAAGTCAAAGGACATGACCACCATTCTATAAGTCAAAGGACATGGTCACCATTCTATAAGTCAAAGGACAGGATCACCATTCTATAAGTCAAAGGACAGGATCATCATTCTAAAAGTCAAAGGATATGGTCACCATTCTATAAGTCGAAGGACATGACCACCATTCTATAAGTCAAAGGACAGGATCACCATTCTATAAGTCAAAGGTCATGGTCACCATTCTTTAAGTCAAAGGACACAGTAACCATTCTATAAGTCAAAGGACATGGTCACCATTCTATAAGTCAAGGGACATGACCACCATTCTATGAGTCAAAGGATATGGTTACCATTCTATAAATAAAAGGACATGTTTACCATTCTACAAGTCAAAGGACATGACCACCATTCTATAAATAAAAGGACATAGTAACCATTCTTTAAGTAAAAGGACAGGATCATCATTCTATAAGTCAAAGGATATGGTCACCATTCTATAAGTCAAAGGACAGGATCATCATTCTATAAGTCAAAGGACAGGATCACCATTCTATAAGTCAAAGGACATGTTTACCATTCTACAAGTCAAATGAAATGACCACCATTCCATAAGTCAAAGGACACAGACACCATTCTATAAGTGAAAGGACATGATCACCATTCTTACTGGACAAACAGGGATTTTACCAACTACAAGTCAAAGGACATGACCACCATTCTATAAGTCAAAGGACAGGATCACCATTCTATAAGTCAAAGGACATGGTCACCATTCTATAAGTCAAAGGACATGACCACCATTCTATAAGTGAAAGGACATAACCACCATTCTAAAAGTCAAAGGCTATGGTCACCATTCCATAAGTCAAAGGACATGACCACCATTCTATAAGTCAAAGGACAGGATCACCATTCTATAAGTCAAAGGACATGGTCACCATTCTATAAGTCAAGTGACATGACCACCATTCTATAAGTCAAAGGACAGGATCACCATTCTAAAAGTCAAAGGACATGGTCACCATTCTATAAGTCAAGGGACATGACCACCATTCTATAAGTCAAAGGACAGGATCATCATTCTAAAAGTCAAAGGACATGGTCACCATTCTATAAGTCAAAGGACATGACCACCATTCTATAAGTGAAAGGACATGATCACCATTCTATAGGTCAAAGGACATGACCACCATTCTATAAGTCTAAGAAAAACCTTGTTATGTTTCTGATTGTTTTCTAGGCACATAACATCTGTGGTAGATCATGTGTCTATATCACTGATTAATAAATTGTTAGCTGAATTCACTATTTTTTTGCTACAAAAGATCATCAGCCATTGGATTTAACAGTTTTGAAAATAAATAGAGTTAGGCTCACCTTTTCTCCCAGAACATGACTGACACTTTTGTTTTCTCTAATCCAACTGTCATATTGGTGTCGAGTTATCTTGGACCTGGCACCATCAAATGTGATCCATGGAATACCTGTACAAATTATTAGTTACATGAACATCAATGCATTTTTCTAAGCATACACATTCTTATCTCCATAATATTTTTGAATTTCCTAAATACAGCAGCTTTTTCACGAAATCAGTTGCCAAAAATGGTAATTGTCTAGCTAATGAAGTTTTGAAGCTCTACTAGGTTACAGTCAGTGAAGCTCTACTAGATCACAGTCAGTAAAGCTCTACTAGATTACAATCATTGAAGCTCTACTAGATTACAGTCAGTAAAGCTCTACTAGATTACAGTCAGTGAAGCTCTACTAGATCACAGTCAGTAAAGCTCTACCAGATTACAGTCATTGAATCTCTATTAGATTACAGTCATTGAAATTACAGTCAGTGAAGCGCTACTAGATTACAGTCATGAAGTCCTTCTAGATTACAGTCAGCAAAGCTCTACTAGATTACAGTCAGTGAAGCTCTACTTGATTACAGTTAGTAACGCTTTACTAGATTACAGTCAGTGAAGCTCCACTAGATCACAGTCATTGAAGCTCTACTAGATTACAGTCAGTGAAGCTCTACTAGATTACAGTCAGTGAAGCTTTACTAGATTACAGTCTCTACTAGATTACAGTCATTGAAGCTCTACTAGATTACAGTCAGTGAAGCTCTACTAGATTACAGTCATTGAAGCTCTTCTAGATTACAGTCAGTGAAGCTCTACTGGATTACAGTCATTGAAGCTCGACTTGATTACAGTCAGTGAAGCTCTACTAGATTACAGTCATTGAAGTTCTTCTAGATTACAGTCAGTAAAGCTCTACTAGATTACAGTCATTGAAGCTCTACTAGATTACAGTCAGTGAAGCTCTACTAGATTACAGTCATTTAAGCTTTACTAGATTACAGTCAGTGAAGCTCTACTAAATTACAGTCATTGAAGCTCTACTAGATTACAGTCATTGAAGCTCTACTAGATTACAGTCAGTGAACTCTACTAGGTTACAGTCAGTGAAGCTCTCCTAAATTACAGTCATTGAAGCTTTACTAGATTACAGTCATTGACGCCGTACTAGATTACAGTTAGTGAAGCTCTACTTGATTACAGTCAGTGTAGCTCTAGTAGATTACAGTCAGTGAAGATCTACTAGATTACAGTCATTGAAGCTCTACTAGATTACAGTTAGTGAAGCTGTACTAGATTACAGTCAGTGAAGCTCTACTAGATTACAGTCATTGAAGCTCTACTAGATTACAGTCAGTAAAGCTCTAGTAGATAACAGTCATTGAAGCTCTTCTAGATTACAGTCATTGAAGCTCTACTAGATTACAGTCAGTGAAGCTCTACTAGATTACAGTCATTGAAGCTCGCTCTACTTGTTAACAGTCACTGAAGCTCTTCTAGATTACAGTCAGTGAAACTCTTCTAGATTACAGTCAGTGAAGCTCTACTAGATTACAGCCAGTGAAGCTCTACTAGATTACAGTCAATGAAGCTCTATTAGATTACAGTCAGTGAAGCTCTACTAGATTACAGTCAGTGAAGCTCTACTAGATTACAGTCAGTGAAGCTCTACTAGATTACAGTCATTGAAGCTCTACTAGATTACAGTCAGTGAAGTTCTTCTAGATTAGTGTCAGTGAAGGTCTACTAGATTACAGTTAGTGAAGCTCTACTAGATTACAGTCAGTGAAGCTCTACTTGATTACAGTCAGTGAAACTCTACTAGATTACAGTCAATGAAGCTCTATTAGATTACAGTCAGTGAGGCTCTACTAGATTACAGTCAATGAAGCTCTATTAGATTACAGTCAGTGACTCTCCACTAGATTACAGTCAGCGAAGCTCTACTAGATTAAAGTCAGTGAAGCTCTACTAGATTACAGTCAGTGAAACTCTACTAGATTAAAGTCAGTGAAGCTCTACTAGATTACAGTCATTGAAGCTCTATTAGATTGCAGTCATTGAAGCTCTACTAGATTACAGTCAGTGAAGCTCTACTAGATTACAGTCAGTGAAACTCTACTAGATTACAGTCAGTGAAGCTCTACTTAATTACAGTCAGTGAAGCTCTAGTAGATTACAGTCAGTGAAGCTCCACTAGATTACAGTCAGTGAAGCTCTACTAGATTACAGTCAGTGAAGCTCTAGTAGATTACAGTCAGTGAAGCTCTACTAGATTACAGTCAGTGAAGCTCTACTTGAATACAGTCAGTGAATCTCTACTAGATTACAGTCATTGAAGCTCTACTTGATTACAGTCAGTGAAGCTCTACTTGATTACAGTCAGTGAAGCTCTACTAGATTACAGTCATTGAAACTCTACTAGATTACAGTCAGTGAAGCTCTACTTAATTACAGTCAGTGAAGCTCTAGTAGATTACAGTCATTGAAGCTATACTAGATTACAGTCATTGAAGCTCTACTAGATTACAGTCAGTGAAGCTCTACTTGAATACAGTCAGTGAAGCTCTACTAGATTACAGTCAGTGAAGCTCTACTTGAATACAGTCAGTGAATCTCTACTAGATTACAGTCATTGAAGCTCTACTTGATTACAGTCAGTGAAGCTCTACTTGATTACAGTCAGTGAAACTCTACTAGATTACAGTCAGTGAAGCTCTACTTGAATACAGTCAGTGAATCTCTACTAGATTACAGTCATTGAAGCTCTACTTGATTACGGTCAGTGAAGCTCTACTAGATTACAGTCAGTGAAGCTCTACTTAATTACAGTCAGTGTAGCTCTAGTAGATTACAGTCAGTGAAGCTCCACTAGATTACAGACAGTGAAGCTCTACTACATTACAGTCAGTGAAACTCTACTAGATTACAGTCATTGAAGCTCTACTTGATTACAGTCAGTGAAGCTCTACTTGATTACAGTCAGTGAAGCTCTACTTGATTACAGTCAGTGAAGCTCTACTTGATTACAGTCAGTGAAGCTCTAATAGATTACAGTCAGTGAAGCTCCACTAGATTACAGTCAGTGAAGCTCTACTACATTACAGTCAGTGAAACTCTACTAGATTACAGTCAGTGAAGCTCTACTTGATTACAGTCAGTGAAGCTCTACTTGATTACAGTCAGTGAAGCTCTACTAGATTACAGTCAGTGACTCTCCACTAGATTACAGTCAGTGAAGCTCTACTACATTACAGTCAGTGAAACTCTACTAGATTACAGTCATTGAAGCTCTACTTGATTACAGTCAGTGAAGCTCTACTTGATTACAGTTAGTGAAGCTCTAGTAGATTACAGTCAGTGAAGATCTACTAGATTACAGTCAGTGAAGCTCTACTAGATTAGTCATTGAAGCTCTACTAGATTACAGTCATTGAAGCTCTACTAGATTACAGTCATTGAAGCTCGCTCTACTTGTTAACAGTCAGTGAAGCTCTTCTAGATTACAGTCAGTGAAACTCTTCTAGATTACAGTCAGTGAAGCTCTACTAGATTACAGTCAGTGAAGCTCTTCTAGATTACAGTCAGTGAAGCTCTTCTAGATTACAGGCAGTGAAGCTCTACTAGATTACAGTCAGTGAAGCTCTACTAGAGTACAGTCAGTGAAGCTCTACTAGATTACAGTCAATGAAGCTCTATTAGATTACAGTCAGTGAAGCTCTACTAGATTACAGCCAGTGAAGCTCTACTAGATTACAGTCAATGAAGCTCTATTAGATTACAGTCAGTGAAGCTCTACTAGATTACAGTCAGTGAAACTCTACTAGATTACAGTCAGTGAAGCTCTACTTAATTACAGTCAGTGAAGCTCTAGTAGATTACAGTCAGTGAAGATCTACTAGATTACAGTCAGTGAAGCTCTACTAGAGTACAGTCAGTGAAGCTCTACTAGATTACAGTCATTGAAGCTTTACTAGATTACAGACAGTGAAGCTCTACTAGATTACAGTCATTGAAGCTTTACTAGATTACAGACAGTGAAGCTCTACTAGATTACAGTCATTGAAGCTTTACTAGATTACAGACAGTGAAGCTCTACTAGATTACAGTCATTGAAGCTCTACTTGATTACAGTCAGTGAAGCTCTACTAGATTACAGCCAGTGAAGCTCTACTAGATTACAGTCAATGAAGCTCTATTAGATTACAGTCAGTGAAGCTCTACTAGATTACAGTCAGTAAAGCTCTACTTGATTACAGTCAGTGAAGCTCTAGTAGATTACAGTCAGTGAAGATCTACTAGATTACAGTCAGTGAAGCTCTACTAGAGTACAGTCAGTGAAGCTCTACTAGATTACAGTCAATGAAGCTCTATTAGATTACAGTCAGTGAAGCTCTACTAGATTACAATCATTGAAGCTCTACTAGATTACAGTCAGTGAAACTCTACTAGATTACAGTCAGTGAAGCTCTACTTGATTACAGTCAGTGAAGCTCTAGCAGATTACAGTCATTGAAGCTCTACTAGATTACAGTCAGTGAAGCTCACACTTATTTGTAATAATTCTATGTAGAACAACAGGTCCTTAGTAGAACAGTCAAACCTGTGTTAACTCATTCACCCCTATACATATTTAAACTGAACTTGCCCAGTCTATGATTTGGTAAGGTTCAAATGTGAGTGACTTTATGGGTGAATGGGTAAAGTGGTTCACACACGGGAGATTATAACAGTGGCTGCTTATCAAGGTTCCAGTAAAGTACAACATAACAAAATATTATATAACATTTATTAACAGGCTAACATTGAACAAAATTGTAACATCCTTTCCAAAAACATTCAAACCAAAATATATCAAAACATTTCTATATACCAAACATGTGCATATTAAATAAATAAACTTACAATATCAAATAAAAGTGTCTATTGATTAAGAATGTATAATGATTTATTGATAATTTTAACACTTTATTACTATGAAAGATCACACCTGAACTATAATAATAAACATACTGTCGCAATGTCTATTCTTATATAAGTAATTGTAATAATCTCACTGCAGTATGTTGGCAATTTGCTTTGAAGTCTGTATGAAGCTGACCTATATTTTTGTAATTGATTGTTTGATTCGTATGACCTACCTTTGAGGGACAGGACCTTGAGTTTGGGCATGTCCTTGAGAGAGTCTGGCAGGGTTGTGAGGACATTGTTGTCCAGGATGAGTTCCCTCAACGACTTGAGATTAGAAATGCCACTAGGCAAGGTTGAAAGGACCAATCCAGAGAGGATCAATTTTGTCAGGCAGCTATTTTCAGGCCAATCCAACTTAATCTCTTTCACTACCATGTTTGAACAGGTTACGGACTTGAGAGCAGGACCTTGGAGAAGGTCGGCTGGGAGCTTGGACACCCCAAGACTCCGTAGGGACACATTCTCTAGGGAGGTACACTTGGCAATGCCTGAAGGGATGGTTGGATTTTCAGACAACTTGCACAAGGACAAAAACAAACACTCCAAGTTTGAGAACTTGGAAAAGAAGTCCTTAGGAAGGGATGGAAGTTCTGGCAGATCCCAGGCAAACGCATTCACCAATTCATTGTAGGGCTCAAAATATTCATACTTGAGCTGCATATCTTTGGGAAACATTGATTCACTGCCGTTGATGGACAGGTTGTGAGCCTTGCAGGTATAGTTCCTCTGATTTTTGACAAGCTTCTCAGCATCCGATGTGGGTTCGTTGTTGAACTTTTGTATATATGGAGTATCCTGCCCCTTGATGAGCGCATTAACCTTCTCTGTCCCGTTGATAGGATTTTCCTGGTTGGTTAGTCCTCCAACCTGACTGGCATAGATACCACACAGGGAGGCGTACGGCTGGAGTAGCCTATACAGCAGACTCTCTATCTAATAACATTAAACCAGAAATCTTGTTTGAATTATCAAATCTAAACGTGACAGTCTATCAATCTAAAGGGGTGATGATAATCCTTTCACACTAAGGACATTTTATTTTGGCAACATATAGATACGATTTCTTTTCACCATCAATTATTACCAGTAAAAGCAATAAGGATAATTTAAGTATCTGGTTAAAACTTTTTTTTTAAATTTCAATATTCAATTATATTCATATAAAGTGTTTTTTTCTGATTTACAAAAAGACACCAGATAATGACAATTTTTATGCACTCTATGATACACAAAAATGTGCCATTTTCTTTATTTCTAATCCTTTCATTTAAAAAGAAGTCTTCTGATTGGCTGAAACATTTCTATCACTGAATTACTACTCAGGTTTTTCAAATTTTGTCACCCCTTGTACATTAACATTCAAAAATCTTTTTAGGTGATTAAAAATAACAAGACTATTTTTTGGTAGAATCAAAATAATAGTTTGTCACTTTGGCATGTGATACTAGGCCTAAATTCCTCTTTGATTAGAGTCAGTCTAGATGTGTGAGATTTGACCTATGACTGACCTCTGCCCTGCTTAGACCAGACGGGTCCCCTTGGAACAGGTTTTTGTAAGTGGGCAGTTGGAGCTTCTGGGCCAGTAGGGCTATGTAGATCCAGCCCTGGAACAAACAGCCGTATGACAGATCCCCCGGGATCTTCTCCGTGGGAATAAACCCAGGAATATCAACAAAGTGAATTGGAACATTTAGCTTCAGCTTGTGATTGGGCTGGAAATGGCGCAGCTGGTCTGTAAATTAGAAAGGAAATCTGTCTGAAAACCCTAGGTTACCTGAAAAGGTTTGGTTAGAAACTTTGGTTAAACACCACTTATACCTCATTAGTTTGAATTCTCCTATAACTACTTGTTTCCTCACTCCTTAGGCACTGGATAAACAGGCGATCTGTTTGGCTAAACATGACACATAGCATAATAAGGTGTTAAATCATTGGTTAGTTAAAGCAGGTCAAGCCTTTTAATTGGAACTTTGACTGCACAACAAAATGAAACATCCCAATGTTTTACAACATCCCAATGTTTTACAACATCCCAATGTTTTACAAACATCATGGCTACTTGTAAATGATAAGTTATCCAATGACATTATTATTTTCTGCAGTTAAGTTTATTAGGGCGGAAGCTGCAGTGTAAATTGTGCAAAAACAAATAAAAAAATTGAGTGGAGTCTCTCATAGATCCAGCTTTTCCTACGGACAGACAGACGCACACACACCCTAACAAAGGGAACAGTGTATACCCCCTCACCAAATGGGGGTTAAAAATACAAGGCTTTTCTGCATGAATATGATGAGAAAATGTTCCCTAACCGGTCATAATCGGTTTTCATATTTATCTAACTCTAGTTATGAACAGTTAATTTAAAAATTCAAAACTCCAAAGGCATTTAAGGTGGCTCCACACTTTCGCAATTAACCAGCAAAATTCGTTGAAACTTTCATATAATGGTTATGCAACTATGTCGAGTTGATTTTATGAAAATCTAAACATTCCGATAGTTTGGGGAATTTTTTGGAAAAAATACCAAAAAATTGAATTTTCGTCAATTCTAATATTTTCCGGGTTTTTTTGTGTGTGGCATTGTTCGGAACAATAACAACAATAATAAAATGAAAAGAAGCATTTCTAATTAACCCTACAAATATTTTATTTATCGCAAAATATGTAACACATGTTACACAAAGTGTTTTTTATTGAATTTGTACGGATAAAAGTGATTATCTACAAGCTAAAAGCACCCAGGACACAAAGTTCTATACATATAGAGTGGGAAATTGAACAAAATATACACAATGGCTTTATAATTAATTTATTTTACATTTT